TCCGCGCTCTCAACGCCCTTTCTTTGAATTTTTTCCTATTTGTTTTTCTTTTGTTGATGATAAGAAATTGCTCGTTCGTTGAGTTACCTGTGAGGATAAGTGATTGCAAGTGATAGTTTTTATGTGTCTGTCACCTTACTCTATCCATCACTGTACGTACTTCGTGCCCTACGAGAATCTGAGACGTTGCTGGTTGATAACTGACATTGATAACAGCTATCATAGCCGTTTATCATTTGGCCGTTCTCTGTTCGCATTTTGATTTTGCGGCTGGACTGCAGAATCTTATCAATCGGGTGGTTAGTCTTAAAACAGCTGTCAGGACAATATAGGTCTTTTTTGCTGGGAACAGTTGTATCGTAATTGGACCGTCTGCACCGGCGCACTTGTTTTATTGCAGCCCGATGGCAAGACACGTAGTGCGAGCGTTCCTTGGACATTTTTCAGCGCTGTTCGCCTCAGGCAGCCTTTAGAGACTAACTGCTCACTCATCTCCGAGGACGGTCTTTTCCTACGGAATAGGTCCACAGCCGCAGTAACGTGCCACCGCCTCCGCTCGAAAAAGCGCGGAACGAGGAAGTGTTGCGCTACCCGAGTGCCGTTAAAATCAGAGTCAAGCATTGAGGAAAACTGTCGACCCCACCGACCCCCCCCCCCTCCAAAGAGTTTATGTCAGTACGACCCCGCTCGCTCTAGAACTAGCACGAAGAACTATTCAGACTTAAGGAGACAGAGTGCAGCTGGTTTTGTTTCAGCTGCGTTGTGTGTTGGCGCTGAAGCGGGCTATTTTGTTGGTTACTGTCCTTAAAGACACATGGTACGCTCAAACACATTGAGGGTGTATGAGACTAACAGCCCCCCAGCTGTCGATGTGTCGTGGTTTCCCCGCCCGAAACTGCACGGGGGTACGGGACCGTGGGAAAGGCTTATTCCTTGCTACACCGCCCAAAATTCACCGCGCGCAAGTTGCATTTTGGGCGGTGTAGCAAGGAATAAGCCTTTCCCACGGTCCCGTACTCGGACCCCCGTGCAGTTTCAGGCGGGGAAACCACGACACATCGACAGCTGGGGGGCTGTTAGTCTCATACACCCTCAATGTGTTTGAGCGTACCATGTGTCTTTAAGCCAAAATATGTGACTTTCTACAGAAACAACAATTTTGCAAAGCAGCAGGCGCGATTCATAGTCTCTTGGAGCCTTCTTTCGCTATTTTGCTGAGGATTGAGGATTTTCTCTATTTAATGACCCTTTGGTGACCCAAGCCTTCAGCCATTGAGGGGCTCTAACTTCAGTAATGCAGAACCGAACGGGAAGAAAAAACTGGCACTGGAAACAGACTTTCTTTCGTAATCACTAAAATTTTGTTCATAAAAGCCCGATATTTAGAAAATTTGTCGCTGAGGGTTTTTTCGACAACGAGGGAGCTGTAGTCTGCATGCAAGTTGTCGCACCTCAGAATGAAGCAACTTCTCTCAAACTTCTGTAGGAGAGGTGAAATCCTTGGAAACCACGAAATCGCGCTTCAGTTGACTTCTTCAAATATGACCCCATACCCTAATCCAGTGAGCAAAACACGGCCGTTGAAGATTCCTCAATGGACTCTTGAGCCTGGTCTCCATACTTCTTCCGCGCCATCCTCAAGGTGCAGCACTTGCGACAATACCAAAATCCTGCAGCGAGTACGCGGTACCAAAACCAGAACAGCCAGAAGTGAGAGGAATATCAGAAGGAAAGGGCGCAGACAAGTAACGCCTGTGGTCATGGTTAGGCGTGCGGCTGCCCTGCAGCAGCGCAGGTGGGGAATGGCATCGCTTCAGCACCCGGGCCCTCCAGCTCCGTTTCCGTACACTTTTGTGTGGAGAAAGTGGCTCGCTACTGCAGCTGCAGACCCATTTCCCTCGTACATGGCAACCATGATAGTGTACAGCTTGCCACCGAAAGGTTCTTTGTGCAAAACTGGTGCTACGTAAAGGAGATGAAGGCCATGAAGGCTTGCCGGAGCCCAGGGAAGGAAGGAACTGGGCGAACCAGGTTCTTTGGGTGAAAAGAGATTTTTGCTCTACAGTATTCCTAGTTTTGCAGAAGGTGTCCTTCAAATACTCCCTTGCAAGGCGAACGGCGGCTCATTTATCTCCTTTTTACTTCTTTTTGCTCTTGGCTACTGCCCTGTTTTATGCGTCTCTCTGCAATGTCATGCCACCCCGAAGATTCGAAAAAAGTTTTTCTGATTACTGCAGTCATATTCTACCACACGGATATGTATTTTATTTACAAATGTATCTCAGGAACCTTATGCCTTCGATAACCTTTACCTCAATTCCTTACCAATTTCCATTTTTTCCTGTTCCGTAATAGAAGTAAAAAAGGCGGTAGTGTAGGTTTTACAATGCGAGAGACCGCTGCAGTTGTCCTTCATGGCAAAGCTCTTCATTTCTATGGAAAATTTTCCGAGTTACAATCCCTCAATGCTCCTACAGCGCTGGGACGGGAGAGTGACTGAGCACACTTTGGACCAGCTATCAAATATAGAGCAGCTGCGACAGTTGCCTTTTGTGGAAAGGAGATCAACGAAGTGAAACATCCAAGCTGAGGCTGCGTTCATACTTTTTTGTCAGTGATGTGAGCGTTTCGGGGGAAAAGGAAAACATAAGAGCTAAAAACAGCGATGTGCTCGCCTGGAACTCTGGATTACCTCGATTACTTTCAGCTGCGTTCTGTCTCAAATTTTGCTTGTGAATCGCTCAAAACCGCGTGCGAAATAATAGGCCCGCAGTCTAGACTTCATTATAATCTCCTCCTCGCGACGATTTCTCAACGAATATGACATTTATTTCTTGATCTCTCCGAAGGAATTTCTATTAAAGGCCCTCCTGTGAAGGACAAGGGAAATACCGAATGGGTTCCTTTCTGCTCAGAACATTTAGATTATCTCTTGTTTTTTGGACCCTGAATTACCAAATTTTCCGAGTGCGTACATAGTCACCCTACAGCATTCAGACAAGCTGTTGGAAGTTGTGTCGAGCTTTGTACGGTGCCTCTGAAGAGGAAGCTGTATCCTGGCGCGCCAATGTCGGAACTGGTTCTTGAGTTCTTGGGACCGATATGAGGGCATAAAAAACAGAACAATAGCAAGATTTTCCATCCTTGTCAACGACACGCTGGAAAAAGCCATAATCCATCAAATCGGACCCGTGCCACATGATGAGTGAACTTTCGAAAAACGATTACGTACATGAGCGACGATGGCAAGTTTTTTGTACACGACTGGCTAGTCAGGAGAACAATGGGCACTCCAGCCAAAAGAGGGTATC